ATGACAGGTAATTCGAATCTATTTTTCACTTTCCAATCACATACAACTTCCTCTAGTGTTACTTTAGCCGATGGATCAACCTCTTGTGTTCTTGATTCTGGAACTATTAATCCAACTCCAACAATTTTATTGTCCAACGTCTTAAATCTACCTAAGTTTTCCTTTAATCTAATCTATGTTAGTAAACTCACTCATGCCTTGAATTGTTGTATCTCATTCTTTCCTGATTTTTGTCTATTTCAGGATCTTACGACGAAGCAAATTATTGGTGGAGGTCATGAGTCTGGAGGTCTCTACTACCTTGACACACAGGTGCCGAGATCCATTGCTTGTTCAAGTGTATTGACCCCCTTTGAGGTGCATTGTCGATTGGGACATCCTTCTTTGTCTTAAAAAAATTGTCCTCAATTTCAAAATGTATCTTCGTTGGATTGTGAGTCACGCCAGTTTGCCAAACATCATCGTCTCCCTTCAATGTCTAAGAGTCAATAAACGGGCTATGTCCACTTTTGAGTTAGTCCATTCTGATGTTTAGGGTCCTTGTCCTATTGTATCTAAATCTGATTTTAAATACTTTGTTACTTTCATTGATGACTATTCTTGTGTCACTTAGCTATACTTAATGAAAAATCGTTGTGAGTTATTCTCTATTTTTTGTGCCTTTTGTGCTGAAATAAAAACACAATTTAATGTTTTTGTGCGTACATTGCGAAGTGATAATGCCAAGAAATGTTTTTCTGATAAATTCAATCCTATATGATTCAGAATGGCATTCTCCATCAATCTTCTTGTATTATTACACCTCAAAATGGAGTTGCCGCGAGAAAAAATAGACATCTCCTTGAGGTAGCCCGAGCACTTTGTTTCAAATGAAAGTTACCAAATAGTTTTGGGCTGATGCTGTCTCCACAACTTGTTTTCTGATTAATCAGATGCCTTTCTTTGTCCTTCATGGTGATATTCCCTATACTGTCCTCTTTCTTTCCAAGTCTTTGTTTCTTATTGAACCTAAGATATTTGGTAGTACATGTTTTGTTCGTAATGTTCGTCCCCAGATCACCAAATTATATCCAAAATCTCTCAAGTGTGTTTTTCTTGGTTATTCTCGTCTTCAGAAAGGTTTCAGATGTTATTCTCCTACTCTTAACCGATATCTTGTCTCCACAGATGTCACTTTCCTTGAAAATATTCCTTTCTTTCCCTCATCTTCTAGTTATGATAGTCAGGGGGAGGAAGATGATCTACTAGTTTATAGTGTAACCCATCCTGTGAGTACCAAAGATATTCTTGCACATGATCCTACACCTGTTCGGCCACCTATTGTTCATGTCTAATCCAAACGGCCAAAGGCTCAGACCACATGCCCTTGATCAATCCCTTCACCGTCAAATCCAGTCTCTAGTGATCATGATCCTAGTCTTCATCTCCTTATTGCTCTTCGCAAAGGTAAACGCCAGTGTACTTATCCTATTTCATCTTTTGTTTCTTATGATCACTTGTCTTTTTCTTATAGTTCGTTTGTTGCATCCTTGGATTCTGTATCAATTCCTAAAACAAATCATGAAGCCTTGTCCCATCCTGGTTGGCGTGCTGCTATGGTAGAGGAGATGGTGGCTGTAGATGGTAATGGTACTTGGGATTTAGTAGATTTGCCTGCTAGGAAGAAAGCTATTGGGTGCAAATGGGTGTTTGCTGTAAAGGTAAATCCTGATGGATCAGTGGCTCGCCTTAAAGCCCGTCTTGTTGCTAAAGGATATGCCCAGACTTATGGTGTTGATTATTCTGATACTTTCTCTCAAGTTGCTAAACTTACCTCTGTTCGTTTATTCATCTCTATGGCGGCTACCTATGATTGGCCTTTACATGGTGACCTCTAGGAGGAAGTGTACATGGAACAACCACCTGGGTTTGTTGCTTAGGGGAAGTATGGGAAAGTCTATCATCTTTGAAAATCCTTGCATGGCCTGAAACAAAGCCCTTGTGCTTGGTTTGACAAATTCAGTGAGTCAGTTCAAGAGTTTAGGATGAAGAAGAGTAAGTGTGATCACTGAGTGTTTTATAAACAGTCTAAGGTAGGCATAATCTTACTAGTAGTGTATGTTGATGAGATATTGTCATTACTGGGAGTGACACTGCTGGTATTTCATCACTCAAATCCTTTCTTCATACCCAGTTTCAGACAAAAGATTTAGGGTTGTTGAAGTATTTTTTCGGTGTTGAAGTGACAAGGGGTAAGAAAGATGTATTCTTGTCCCAAAGAAAATATGTTCTTGACTTGTTGACTGAGACAGAAAAATTGGGTGCTAAGCCGTGTAATGCACCAATGACTCCTAATTTGCAACTTACAAAAGAAGATGGTGAATTGTTTGAAGACCCTGAAAAGTATAGAAGGTTGGTTGGAAAATTGAATTATCTCACAGTGACTCTCCTGATATTGCATACTCTGTTAGTATTGTAAGTCAATTTATGTTGCTCAACAATTAACCATGGGCAGCTTGGAATAATCTTATGTTATTTGAAGGGGGCTCCAGGATGTGGTCTATTTTATGAAAATCATGGACACACTAATATGAATGTTTTTAAGATGCAGATTGGGTAGGTTCTAAGATTGATAGGAGATCCACTACGTGATATTGTGTTTTTGTTGGAGGAAATCTGGTCTCATGGAAAGTAAGAAGCAGAATGTAGTATCTCAGTCTAGTGCAGAATCAGAATACAGAGCTATGGCACAAACAGTGTGTGAACGGTATTATGGATGTATCAGCTATTAAGTGAAGTTGGTCTTAAGTCTTCTTTGCCGACAAAGCTGTGTGATAATCAAGCTGCTCTCCATATTGCCTCCAATCCCGTGTTTCATGAACGAACTAAGCATATTGAAGTAGATTGGCATTTTGTTCGTGAAAAGATTCAGCAGAAGTTTATCTCTACAGAATATATTAAAACTGCAGATCAACTAGGAGATATCTTCACGAAAGCATTGAATGGATCTCGAGTAGATTATATTCGTAGCAAGCTGGGCATGATTAACATCTATGCTCCAGCTTGAGGGGGAGTGTT